TTAGGATCCTTAGTTAAAAATATATAATAATTAAGGTTTTGAATCAAGTATCAAAATGGTAAACTTGATACTGATTTATAATAAAGTTAATATATGGATTGTGACCTACTATATTAAACTCATAATAAATCCAGTATCAACTTGACACTGAAATAGTATTATTATGAACTCTAATAATAATAGTAATTATATATTTCTTTGATAAATAATTGGTTATTATAATAGTATTGTTATTATAATAATATAATTAGTAATTGATTTGTTTGTTGATAGTATGATTTTTTTGTTTTGATTATTATTATCAGAAAAGATTTTTTTTATTACTTAATATATAATATTTTGGTTATATAAATTTGTTTAAATAATTAATAATATTTGATTAGTTGAATTTGAAATATTAATTAGTTAACAAAAGTAAATTGGTTACAATTTTTTTATATAAATTTTTTTGAAAAAAAGTTTTTGATTTTTTGTGACACAACAAAATATGCCAAGCAATAATAAGAAATAAACATTAAATATATTGCTGATTCTTTAAATTAATAATATAATTAATTTTAATATAAAGCTTAATTTTTTAATTTGCAAAAAAGTTTTCTAAAGAAAGAATATAATTATTTAATAAGATTTATAAAAAAACTTCAAGAAAGATTTATAAAGAAATAACTGTTATAGACCTTTTTTTATGCAATTAAAAAAAAACAAGATTTTCAAACTTGCTTTTTTTGGTTAGAGGTTCTATTCTGATGCATTAATCTATTTTTTTTAGTTTTCTTGAGATTCTTGAAGTGAAGATAAAGAAAGTGTGAAGGATTTTGAATATTGAAAGATGAAAAAAACAATTGTTTCTTTAATTTTGAAAGAAAATTACTATAAAAGAAAATTTTTAAGAAAAAAGGTATATATGGGAAAAAGTTTTTTTTTTTTTAATTAATAATAAATTTTTGATACCTAATTGCTAATTATATATGTAAAATATAAACATATAATAATGATAAAATTTTGATTTTACAGTATTATCTAAAATAAAAGCAATATATTATTTAAATTTTGATATCTTTGTTCAATTCTTGTTTAAGTTGAAATTTTTTTAAAAAATTAATTTTTTTTCAAAATATTTTATAAGAATTATAAATCTTTAACATTTTTTAATAATTGTAAATACAAAATTATTTTAGATGAATTGAAATTTTTTGTATATAATTATTGAAAGAATTTTATTACAATATTTATATTTATTTATAGCAAATAATATCAAGATAAAACAATGTATTTTGAATAGTTCTAGGTATCTTGATAATTAATTCATTAACAATCGAACAAAGCAACAAAAAGTAAAATGTATAATCTATGAGTTGTTATTTTTGTGTCTAATTTGATAATTCTGACAAATTATGTATATATGTATATATATGTTTCTAGTCAAAATAAAACGAACAGCTTAACTGACACGGATCAGAAGTTGTACGAAATTCTTAATGATAAATTAATCGTCTTTCTTTTCATCGTCATCTTTTTCATCTTCAACTGTCGTACGAAGGTCTCTAATTTTTTTACTACTGCTAGCATCGTCTTCATATGTGCCCTCATCTTCGTTATCATCTTTGTTATCATCTTTCTTCTTTGGTACTTCCCAACCCCATAACGGAATAAAACTGTCAACAAATCCAACATCCTCAAACAAGTTTGGAAACAACCATATTCCAGGAGGTACAACAATCATGGTAATAATAAACAATACAAGTCTAACAACCGCAAGGAGAATGAACACCCCAAAAAGACCTAGTATGAACACTGAAAGGTACCACACTGAATTACGTAATATGGGCGGCCAAAGAGGAAATAAGACACCGACGAATACAAGCACTATTAATACGAATCCTCCCAAATAGTTCAGTAGTTGTGATCCTTCATAGAACCATACGTAATACTGGTCATCGGCCCATAATTGAACATTGGTTATAGTTAAATTTTTGTTGCGAGAGCCTTCGGTTCCTCCAGAACGCTCAACCCGTGCGTAAAAAGAATAGCCCAAAATTTCTTCTAGAACCTCAAAAGCCTCGGTTTCGTTAGTAACCTTTGGCGTACCCTTTATTTTGCTATAAGATCCTTTAAGTAGAGCTTTTATAGCCGTTTTACCTGTTTAGACAAGGAATAAGGCCATTAATTTAAGTAAAGAAAAGGATCATACGGTTCATTACCTTTAAAATATTCTACTCTCTTGCCGTTCAAAATGCCTTGGCGAGTTTTTAGAGTAGATCTTAGGTATTTGGCTACCTTAAGAAGATTCGGAGGTGCCTTTTCCATTTTTTACGATAAGTGAATCACAGTTTCCAAAAAAAAATTTTTTTTTATATACATGCGTAAAACAATTACCAATTGAATTTTACCACATGTGTATTGATGATTTATATCTCAATCACGTGATTAAAATCGAGGAAAATTTTTCCGGTTTATTTTTTCATCGTGACATATCTTCCAATAAACACAATACTTGTTCATAAATAACAAACATAATCCCGCTTTGCATCGCCGTCCATGAAACACGTGGCAAAAGCCCACGGAAAAGAGCACTTATTCCATAATGTTTATAATTCCATTGCATCCCTTCCAATATACCAGTGTAATAATGGGTTATTTTTGTTGTACTAGGAGTCGTTGTCACTGATTGCTTTTGAGAAAAAGGATTTTTTGTTTTTATGTGTTTTTGAGTTTGAAGTAATGTTTTCATAACATCTAGAGGCGTCGTCATAGCACCCGCCAATCCACCAGCAAAAGCTCCAATAGCAATTTCCCATTCGAGGCTTAATTGAGGATTTTGCTTGGTGGTCGTGTATTGCAACGCCCAAACTTTGAATTTCTCTGTTGAAAAAAGAATAAAATCAATCGTGAACGCTCGATGACGTGTTAATAGCTTTGCAAAAATAAATTAACTAGTACCATAGAAGGCAAATTGCAAGGCTGAAAATGGAACGTCACGTAGTAATGTAGCCCTATATCCATGATAAAATGCACCAGGGCCTTCAAATTTATATAACTAAAAAATAAATTAAATTTAGCAAAATATTACAAAAGATTGAAATATGCGTATACATGAAGAATTTATATATTTCTATTAATTGAAAGCCCATGGCAAACGAACCACCAAGGCGCAAACAAACCATCTGCGCAGCGTGCCAAGTATTTTTGTAGTTGTATCCGCTGAAAAAATGCGGATTATTGTATCGACCTTGTAGTTGTAGTCGGGTTTTAAGAACCTATAAAAAAAAAGGAATTTTTAGAGAGCTGTTTATTATAATTATTGTGCTGAGGTCTTATGGATAGTTTACCTCTGAAGGGACATAAACCGAAGACGCCATCACATCACCAACGGATCCTATAATATATATATCGATATATATTTTTTTTAGAATGTAATGTCACGTGATTTACCGGAAGTTACTCGAATATTTTCGCATTCCTTACCGGCCGTTAAATGCGCAACAGTGTCAGTTATTCCAATTGATTTGATTTTGCGCTTTATGAATTCATATGTTCCGAAATAGATTGTTGTGGCTGGTACTATAAACCGAATCGTCAAAGGACATCGTCGGTCATAAGATTTCATTTGAGTTGGAGTAAAATCATTAGTTACCAGATCCCAGTATGGCAGGCGTAACCCCGCCGTACAATCCACGAATAAGCCCTTCCTGTTTCCATATTGTAGTGTATGCGTTCCACATATTTTGATACTTGGGTGGTTTAGTTTGTCTCTGACCTTGTAATCTGGTTTTCACCGTGTCTATACTGGAATAACGTTGTTTGTAAATGTACATTCATTGTGAACCATCACTAATTGTCAACTCAATTCAGAGAGAGTACCTATGCATTAAAAAATCAGCTGTCGAACCACCAACACCTCCGGAAAACATTACCTAAGAGTAGCATCTATTCGATGAGTGATCAAATTCTCAATTGATAAATTTTATATAGAATATCGAACATACGTGATAAATTGAAGCAACTTTCGTGTGGGCGTATTCGGGTTCAACTGTGGATGCAACTCGAAATGACGGAGATTCTGACGATTTTTTCGGTATCGAATGTGAATTTTTTTTTGAAGTATCATATTTAAAGTCTTCTATCATCATATGATAACATAAACTTTATCCAAAAGGTGAAATATCATAATATAATAGAGACAAGACTTTTGCGTAAAGATGAATTAAATTTGAATAATACATGTTTCGCACAGATGAGATTTTATACATCTTGCATACATCGTACAACTATTCGAATTCCACGTGACATATGTAACTCAAAGTTTATCTCATGATTTTAAAATACAAATTTTTATCTATAATATTAAAATAATAGGACATACAATATATCAAATATTTTTATTTTTAATAATAAATCAATATTATTCTTATTGATAAAAATTACATAAAAAATATAATTTTTTTTTTTAAAAAACAAAAAGTATTACAATATGTTGTTTTTATTAAATAATTTATATTTAATTTTATTTTTTTTTTTATTTTTTTTTTTTTTAATCCCGCAATCAGGTTGGTGTCGTTTATTTATTTAATCATAAAGAACCATTACAAGTT